TCATGGACTCCGGCCTCAAGGACACTACAGTGAGGGAAATATCGGGCTTTCAAGATCCTTGCACACAGGCTGGTTGGGTTTTGAAGTAGCCTCCACCCCTGTCTTGACAACATCGCCAGGTTGAACGTATGCATATCCCGGAACCCCAGCCCCCCTGCCGCTTTTGGTTGTGACAGTTTCTCCCAACTGATCCAATGCATTGCATTTTGTTTGTCCTGTTGGCTCCACCAGAATTTGCCTAGAAGAGAGTTGAGTTCCGCACAAAAGGTTTTGGTTAAATCGAAGCATGACATAGCAAAGATGGGTATGGCCTGCCCCACAGCCTTCACCAAGACCTCCTTACTCTCCTTAGCTAACAACCTTTCCTGCCAACCGTGGACGCGACCACACATGTTGCGTTTGATGTAGCTGAAAGCTTGCTTTTTGGACCGCCCCACATGAACCGGTAGGCCTAAGTATTTCTCATTCCAATTTTTGCTCTGTATCCCCAACTTGTTTTTGACCAAGATTCTGTCGGCATCAGAAGTATTTGGGCTAAACATAACAGCAGATTTCTCGACGTTAATGCTTTGGCCGGAACAGTCCTCATATAGCTGGAGCACGTCATGCAATGCACCGGCTTCTTGCTGGTCAGCCTTGATCAACAACATGGAGTCGTCAGCAAATAAAAGGTGCGATACACACGGCGCCCTTGGACAGATTTTCACACCATGCATGGTTCCCTTCCCCTCAGCTTCAAGTAGTAATGCCGACAAACCTTCCGCGCAGATGACAAAGAGGTAGGGAGAGATAGGGTCCCCTTGCCGCAAGCCTCTCGACGGACTAAACTGGGATGTAAGCTCGCCATTAACTCTGATCTGGTATCGGACAGTTCTTACACATTTCATTACGAGGTTAGTCCAATCTCTGCTAAACCCCAGCTTGCATAACATGGCTTCCAGGAAGCACCATTCTACTCTATCATAGGCTTTACTCATATCTGCTTTGATAGCCGCAACTCCATTCTTACCACTCTTCTTGTTCATCAAGTACTGAGATATCTCATAAGCTATAAGAACATTATCTGTAATCAGCCTGCCGGGTACGAACGCACTTTGATTATCAGAGATAACCTCCGGAAGCACAAATTTCAGTCTATTTGCAATGACCTTGGATACAAGTTTATAGACTACATTGCATAAGCTGATGGGTCGGAGATCCTTGATTCTCTTCGGGTTCTTCACTTTCGGGATCAGGACCACTAGCGTATCATTCCACCCTTCCGGAATCTGTCCACCATTCAGTACAGCAAGCACCTCCTTGACAACCTCATCACCCATAAAATGCCAGTGTCGTTTGAATACAATCGCAGGCATGCCGTCCGGCCCCGGGGCCTTCAGATCACCTATGTGATCCAATGCCGCTTTAACTTCCTCCCTGGTGTATTCGGCCTCAAGGATCGCACGCATAGAGCTAGTCACTCGCAGCTGGACTTTATCAATCAGTTCTGATAGTCGGTGTGGGTTGGATGATGTAAATAAGTCCTGAAAAAACGAACGCACAAAGTTAGTTAAAACCTCCCCTTCCTCCACCACCGTACCATCCTCCCTCCTAATCTCCTTCAGTCTATTAATTCTCTTCCTTGATGATGCTACAGACTGTAAGTATCTGATGTTTTTGCTTCCACCACGCAGCCACCACATGTGTGCTCGTTGCTTGAGCTCCGTATATTTCTTGCTTTTTAGATCCTCCAACAAGCTTCTAAGCCTAGCTTCCTCCTTAATTTTCCCCTCTGAGACCGCCTCTTTCATGCATCTTTCCAGATCAGCATTAGCTTGTTTGATCTGTCCATTAAGTTCCCCCAGAACCTCCTTACTCCAAGTGTGCATTTTAGTAGCCACTGCTCTTAGACCTTCAGTCACTCCCCCAACGCCTGCCGAGCAATTATTCTCCCAAGCTTCTCTTATTAACTCTTCGCACCCATCCTCTTGCAGCCATCGAGCCTCAAACCGGAACAGGCGATCATCTCTCTTCCATTTCGTGTCCATGCCTTCCACATGCACGACAATGGGCCGATGGTCAGAGTGTCTAGGCTCACCATTGACTACCACATAATTTGGGAACATGTCACACCATTCATGATTTGCTGTTGCACGGTCGAGCCTTTCACATATATACGTGCGAAGTTCTTTACTATGATTCCTCCACGTGTACATGTCACCTTCAAATCCAATATCCTGGAGTCCACAGGTAGTCAGCGCCTCGCGGAAGCCGTCCAGGTATTGCTGCGGCCGGTCCGCTCCTCCTACCTTCTCATAACTTGTTAGTATTTCATTGAAGTCTCCCAGACAAAGCCACGGTCTGCCATTCTGGTGTTGTTGCTTCAGAATTTTCAAGAGCCTCCAAGTCTCCTTCTTCCTCTCCATAGCTGATTCTCCATACACTCCCGTCAGTCGCCAAACCAAGCCACCCTCCTGCTGCACATCCACATCCACATGCCGCCTTCCATATGATCTCAAAGTCACATCCACTCCTCGACGCCAAAATAAAGCCACCCCTCTCCCAGTCCCCTCATCCTTCCACGCAACCATGTTGGCGAGCCCCAACAGCCACCTAAACCTCCCTAGCTCCTTTTCCTTCATTCTAGTCTCACACAGGAACATAATATCGGGATCCTCCACTCTTCCCAGCTCGAGAAGAGAACGAACTGCCGGGCCATTCCCGAGACCCCGGCAGTTCCAGCTTACTATTTTCATTGCTCCCGGCAGGACTGCTCAAGCAGCCCGGCCGATGTGCTATTGGTTTTACAGTGAACTTCTGCTACTGCCTCTTTTATTATTTTGCCATGTTCCTCCATACAGTCAGAACTATCTCCTATTCTGCCCCTCTTCCCGTTGCTGTTTTCAGATGTGTCCATATCTTCCCCTCCTCTCTTCCCCAGCTTGACATTCAGGTTATCGTTCAAGCCCGTTCCCTCCTGCCGCAATTTCCTTTTAAATCTCTTTCCCTCCTTCCCCTTACCAGCATGCATATCTGTCATCTCCTCCCTCGGGCTGCCCTTCACACCATCAGACCTGATCGTCTCCTCGGCTCCATCCTTCCCACCTTCAGGTTGCATTGCCCCTCGGAGATTAGCGCTCGCTGGTAGGTCCACTGCCATAGTGCTCTGTTCTCCTTCAGGTAGCATACTTGGAGCCGGGTGGAACTGGAGGCTTTTAGCAGCCTTGTTTGTTGTCACAGTGTCAGGTTTCTCTGTCAGTTTCAGAGGACTCGTGACCTCCTTCTCCTCAGTTGTTGTGGCCTTAACAGTATTTTTGAGCATGTGATTTCTTTCTTCCAGGAGGCCGCATTACTCCCCGAGCCGTCAGAACCCCTCCCCCAGCTATATTGCCTCCTCTCTCCTGATCCTTGCGACCCTTGACTCCCTCTCCCTCCACCAATCCTCCTTCTGTCCACACTACCTCGGGGGCCATGCCAACTCCCTCTTCCTCCATCCTCCCCTCTTCTGCTGTTTTCCTCAGCCCTCATCCATGGACCATACTGTGGTGCCTCTCCTCTACTAGGCTTCTTGTTGCACTCCTTCTCACCATGTCCGATCACCCCACAGGTATAGCAGAAATCGGGCATGTGTTCATATTCGAAGCGGCACCATAGTAAGTCCTTCTTTTTCTTCTTCGTGCTGTTATTCTCATCAGGCTCCTCTACTCCTCCATTCTTCCCCGCCTCCTGTCCCCTCGCCCTATCCAGAACAAAACCCCTAGGGAGGGGCTCATTGATATCAAGTTTTACCTTCACCCGGAGGTACTTCCCCAACGCCTTTCCATCATGCCCAACATCCACGTCCAGAAACTCATAGAAATCCGCACCTATAGTCTCTCCAGTGGTTCTATTCATATGTCCCAGGGGAAGGCCGAAGATCCGAAGCCACATGGGTATGAGGTTGAAATCATACTCCTCCACCGTCTTCTTCGGGTCGAACTCCTCCATGACTAAAAGCTCATTGTCAAACCACCAGGGACCATCCTCCAAAGCTCGTCTCCAACCTGATGCCTGCCGGAAGGTAAACATGAAGATATTTGTCTCAAGTTCCTTGCACTCCAGTCCTTTAATTGGGCACCATATCCTACCCAAAGTTTGCCCTACTATCCCCGCAATCTTAGGTTTTTCCGAGAACAGCTTCCCCACAGCTTGGGGATCATCCATGTCGCAGTCTTGAGATTTCCCCTTCTCCTCCTGCCCTAACTTCACACCCTTACTCTCCACCGCTGACAGCTTCAAACCCCTCATCAGGCCCTCCACGCCCTCCATCATACCAGCTCACCCCCACACACCAAAACAGAAAACCCTAGGGAAGGACTGGTGGTGTAGGACCGCGATCCGTAGCTCGCGGAAGGCTTATGGTGGATGGGGCGGAGAGAGGACGAGATGGGTTGCAGAGGGGCGTTGTTGAGCGAACACCAGCGGTGCAGATCGACGAACGACGGCGTAGCCAGGACGGAACCCTAGCGGGACTAGGATCGCCCTGAGGTCGCCCCTCCGTGAGTTACGCTAACCGCCACCAAAAGGGCTTTGGTTTTGGTATATAGGAGTACATAAAAACGTCAACCAAGAAATATTTCCAACCTCTTGCTCAATTGTTTTGCAGACTGGATATTTCCTCCGAAGCGTAACCAGAGGAAGGTTTTGATGTTCTAAGCCGAAAATCGGCCTCGGTGCCTTTTTATCCAACCACATTTCATCGATCTACGGTGTTTCTTCGATCTATAGTGTCCGGTTCTACAGTTACTAGTACTACTACTCTCTGACTTCAGCTAGCAATGCCAGTTCCACGCCATGGCTGTCCGGGGAAATCGATCGGGACTACGCGGCGAGACCGGCCGGTGAAGCCATTGTCGGTAGGTACTACGGAACCCAGCTAAGCTAGTAGATAGCGGCGGCAGTGACAAGAGCCCCACGATGCCATCCTCCAAAATTGGGCGAACTCGTCACACGGTGTTCTGTGCAGCCAGCACGTAGGCGGCTCACTTGGGCGGCGGCGCGCTCTGGGGGAAGGAGGAGTCGTCCCACGACCACAGCCGCGGCGGATCGTCGTAGTCCGGCTCCGGCGGCTCGGGCTCGAGGCTGGGCGGGAGCATCCCGAGGTCGTACCGGATTAAGTCGTAGGCGTCGCGCTCCATCACGCACCCGCCCACGTTGATGTAGTACTCGATCATCCCGGGGTCGAACGGGGCGGCGCGCACGGGCTTCTCCTTGGGACCCTCCAGCAGCTGCTTCCTCCGCGCAGCGTGGACGTTGGCGGCGGCGGCGGGCTTCTCCTTGTGATTCTTCAGCAGCTGCTTCCACCGCGCAGCGCCATCGGCGGCGGCGGGCTTCTCCTTGGGATCCTTCAGCAGCTGCTTCCTCCGCGCAGCGCCGTCGGCGGCGGCGGGCTTCACCTTGGGATCCTCCACCAGCTGCTTCTTCCGCGCAGCACCGGGGGCCGTGGCGGTGCCCCGTGGCTGCCTCCGCGTCCCCTGCACCTCGCCGCTCGCGTGACCCTCGCCCGCCACCACGAAGTTCTCCGCCACGCTCTCGCGACGCTGGGTCTGCAGCCTCCGGATCCTGCTCCGCGTGGCATCAAGGGACTTGCCGACGGAAGCGAGCAGCTCCCGGAGCGCGTCCTCCGACATCCCGTCGAGCGGGCTCTCCCACGGCCCGAGCGCGGCGGCGAGGCCGCCCGCCCGCACCCCGGCCAGCCTGGACCCCTGCGCGTCGCGCACGCCCGCGATGTAGCTGGCCTGATCGAACGTGATCCGGGCCTCCTTCGGGAGCTCGAGGAACTGACCCACCACCGCCCTCGCGGTCTCCGTCGACGGCCAGCACTGCAGGGCGCCCTGGCCGTCGAGGCCCGAGCAGAGCACCGCGACGGGCGCGTCGGCCATCTCCGCGAGCTCCTTCGCCTTGTTCATCAGCCCCGCCTTGCGCATCTCGAGCGCCATCCGCCGGTTGACGCCGACGGCGACGGGGATCGCCGCGATGGGCCTCGCCGGAGCCCCGCCCCTCCCCCTCCCCTTCCCACCAAGCGCACGCGGCATTGCTCTATCTCTCTCTCCTCCCAACTTTTCGCTTCTGCCTGTGTGAGCCGGCGACCCGACGGCGGCCGTGGGCTTCTTCTTGTACAGTGGGGAGGAGACGGGCTCAGAGTTGGGCTCGAAACGTTCTGCCAAAAGCACCCAAAACGGCCCAGCAAGTGTTGTTTCATTTCAGTTCTGTTTCGGAGGAAAGGTCCAGAAGCGCCGCCGCCGCAACGACACGCTCCCTCCGGCATGGCGCCGGCGTACCTGGCGACCATCCCCGCGCTCCGGCGCGCGGCGCGGTGGGCCCCGTTGGCTCTGTTCTCTTCGGGGATCGTCGCCGGCGACAAGCCCGTTCTGGTAAACGTCGAGGCCTCTCTCATCACTCCGAGATCTCCCTGTAGTGCCTGCTGTTTTGACAGGGGAGCTTCGCCTCGCAGGTGCGCGATTTCGTGAGGTCGGCGCTCTACGACCCCAACCACGGCTACTTCTCCAAGCGGTCGGGGCCCGTCGGCGTGCTCGACTCCGCCATCCGCTTCCACAAGCTCGACGGTACTGATTGCTCTGTCCCTCCCCGCTGCCCCTGTGCCGAATTCAGTCTGTTGGAGTACACTTGATCGACGAAGTTTGGATTTCTTCAGTTGTCTGTTGGGGCGGCATTTCCACAAACATGTTGTATGCGTGTGTGCTCGGAGTAGAATAGTCTAAACACTACTATCCATGTATTGGTCAGTGCTGGTTATGTGCAATGCTGTGCTGACAACTCGGACATGTGCGTATAGCTGCAAATAATTTGGTGTTATATCACGCAGGGAGGACTGCGTACATGAAGCATCTTGATAAGCTGTATAAGATGCATGATATCTCTTGGTTCACTCCAGTGGAGCTTTTTAAGGTGCCCTTTTGTGCTTGAGCTGTTAAAACTTGAAAGAGAATGTGATCTCGATTTTCTTTCCAATTTAGCCACTGATGCATGTTTCCTACTCTGGTGCAGCCATGGTATGCCTATGCAATAGCTGCGTCAATCCTTCGCACGGCTAATCTTTCAGTCCCATTGAAGGTGCACTCATAATTTTCCTGTCTTATAGCTTCACATCTCGACGGGCGATGCTTCTAGATTCACTTGTGAATTTTGTCATATCATGGCACATTATCATGTTTCCTTCTTTTCTTACCAAGCCATCTGAATTGGATTCCTGTAATGATCAGATATATGAAATCGGAGGTGGATCCGGGACATGTGCAAAGTGCGTACTTGATTACATGATGTTAAATGCTCCGCCAAAAGTCTACAATAATATGAAGTACATGTAAGCAGCTCTTTTGTCATTTTCCTTGTCCTACTTAATTGAAGTTGCTCAGCTAGACTACAGAGTCCTATTTGTTTGGTAAGGCCAAACAAAGTGGTACTTACATGTATCGTCATATCAACATTCATAATATGGTTACTTTCATGCTGCCTTATATTCTCACCCTTTCCATCATTTTTCTTTTATGTTATCAGTTATGCTTTGACCTTCCTTTCATCTTCATTTGCTAGCTCAGTAGAGATTAGCTCCTCCCTTGCTGAAAAGCAGTTGGAAACTGTCGGTGAAGTTCAGAGCCATTTGTCAAAGTTCACAGTGGAGCATCGTGATGCAACTGACATAGCTGGATGGGGTAAGCTTGGCTTCTTGTGCCTAGCTATCGATGTCGGATCTTTCCTACAATAACCCTTGTCTAAGATCAGTTACCTGAGCTTTGATCACCATTTTGCATTGTTTTCAACCTGCAATAGCTCATATTATACTATATATAAGTCCCTAGACTAACTTCTATGCTGTGCTGACAGATGTAATAAAATAGTTGGGGATGACACTGGCTCCCTCTCTACTTATATCCCCATTCCAAAATCACATATTTATCCAGCATTCAGTCTCAGGGTCTCAGTATTTACTATTTACTATTACCTTTGAAATGATTGGTTTTTCCTATTTCCGTTTGCAGGCAGCAAGGATCCTCAACCATGCTGGGTGCTAATGCTTGAGGTATGTACTGCTAGGATTTGCCCTGTCAAAGAAACAAAACGCCATCACCGTTGTCATGAAGTGTACCAGCAATTGGTTCACATTGGCTAGAAGCATATTTTTTTGTGTCAAACTTCTTGACTTTGACAATGTAAGATGTTTGTAAGACTACTTCCCAGTTCTTGTGCCATCACTAGTATCTCTGTTTGGACTTGATATTGCAAAAGAGCGCTGATGCTTTCCCTGTTCCAGTTATGTTACTATTTTCATGTTTAACAGTCCAAAATAGGGTCACCAGCCATGTCAGGCATGCCATCGTATTATTGCCATGCTGGTACTGCTGGCTGATAATAATTCCGTCTGCTATATTATTTGCATTGCTAATATGTCCTGGTTCTGAGGGAACTAATTTACTCATAATATATAAATTTTAGTTTTGCAATCGTATCTTAAGGGAGATGTTCATGCAGCAATAACTTTCTTTTGGTGGAATGTCAGGTACTTGACAATCTACCTCATGACCTTGTCTATTCACCAGATCAGGTCTCTGCATGGATGGAGGTGTGGATTGAAAAAGTAAATGGCAGGTTTGTAATTTTGTTTTTCAAATTCCAAACTCCTTAGCAAATTAGCTAGAACCTTTGCTCTGTGTTATATTTGAAGAGTGTCGGGGGTTGGGTGCAACATATGCCAAAGGATGGCTTATCATGGTGGGAGCGAGTAGAACGTCACCGGTGCCTGGAAGCGGGATGAGGCGTAGACACGAACGCCGGCGCACTTTACCCAGGTTCGGGGCTCTCCTAGGAGATAACACCCCTAGTCCTGCTTTGCGGGGTCTCCGCATGATCACTAAGGCACTAGTGAGTACAATGGTGCTCCTCGAGCTGTATGCTAGAGGTGGAAGGAGGCAGGGCTAGCTCTCTTCTTCCTCTAGGTGTGAGTCTAGTTCTAACAGGTTTGGAACCCTTTGCATGGGTGCCCTGAGGGGTTTATATAGGCCTACCCCCCAGGGGTACAATGGTAACTTGGCCGGGTGTAGGACCCGGCCGTCAGCGTCTCTGGCCGCCGGCTTCTCCGCCGGCAGCTGGGGCCCGCCGCCTGGTGGGCCCCTCAAACTGGTCTGGTACGGAGCCGACAGGCCGCTTCCGCCGCTGGCGGGTCTGGTTGGTGGCTGATCACTGTAGCCGTGATGCTAATGACGCAGGCTTGGTTGGGCAAGGCATGGCTACAGTCCCGCCGCCTGGTGGGTGATCACTGTAGCCTCGCCGTGTCTAGTCTGGTTAATGGCGCTCAGGTCTCGAGGAAGGATCCGGCTGCCCGCCAGGAGCCGGATCCCCTTGCATCCGGCTGGCCAGGCTCGGCCGCCCTCCGGGCCCTCGCTGCCTGGTAGGGCCGCCGCCTGCGAGCCGTACCGACAAGCCGTCATGGGAGCAGGCCCCGCCTGACAGGGGTGACGTCGAAGGTGGAGTGGCAACAGTGCCGCGTCGTGCGGAGATCTCCGCCTGTACGGGACACTGTGGCCATGCCAAACCCGGGATTCGGGGTGAGGGACTACACTGTAGCCTCACCCTGTCTTGTCCTCTTGATGAGGGGCGCAGACTCTGAGGGCGCCGGGTGGCCGCCTGCTAGAAGCCGGCCTCTACGGAGGCCGTCTGCTAGGAGTCGACCCGTCTTGGTGCCGTCTGCTGGTGCTCGGCAGTCTTCGGGCAGCCGGCCGTTGAGCCAGCCGGACACCGGAAGGTGGCACTTCATTCTGGAGTCTCGTGGGGCGAAGCCAGCCCAAAGTCTTGAAAGGCTCAGGGACTCGGGTTACGCTACCCGTGGCCCATTACTCCGACAAAGAGTGCGTCAATAATGTGGATTCCTAGACATGGCAAACACGATCTCAAGTATCCTTTTTTTTGCTCTTAGATTCACTGTTTATGTGGGATGATAGTTCAGTGGGATCCTTGACTTGAGAAAACATGATAAAAGAATCAACTTATGGTCCCTACTAGTTTTCATATTTTAAATGATTCCTTAATGTTCCACATTAGCTTGAAGGATTGGATTTGCTACTTATTGCTTGGCTCCAATACTATTTGTTATTCATGCTGGTGGAAATATAGTTTTATGCTAATATGTGTTTCATTCTCAATAACAACAACAACAACAATTATGCCTTTCTGTCCCAAACGAGTTGGAGTAGGCTAGAGTTGAAACTCATAAGATATCGAAACCAAGTCATGGTTTTGGCATGTGCATAGCTAACTTCCACGCACCCCTGTCCATGGCTAAATCTTTGGTGATATTCCAGTCCTTCAGGTCTCTCTTTACGGACTCCCCCATGTCAAGTTTGGTCTACCTCGACCTCTCTTGGCATTATCAGCGCGCCTTAACCGCCTGTTATGCACTGCCACTTTTGGAGGCCTATGCTGAACATGCCCAAACCATCTCAGACGATGTTGGACAAGCTTCTCTTCAATCGGCGGCACCGCAACTCTCTCACGTATATCATCATTCCGGGGCCGCTCCTTTCTTGTGTGGCTACACATCCATCTCAACATGCGCATCTCTGCTACACCTAGCTGTTGGGCATGTCACCTTTTAGTTGGCCAACATTCAGCGACATACAACATCGCAGGTCGAATCGCCGTCCTATAGAACCTGCCTTTTAGCTTTCTGGGACTCTTATCACAGAGAATGCCAGAAGCATGCGCCACTTCATCCAGCTGCTTTGATTCGATGAGTCACATCTTCATTAATATCACATCCTTCTGCAGCATCGACCCCAAATACTGAAAGGTGTCCTTTTGAGGTACCACCTGCCCATCAAGGCTAACTTCCTTCTCACCCTCATGTCTGGTAGTACTGAAACCACACCTCATGTACTCAGTCTTAGTTCTACTAAGCCTAAAACCTTTCGGTTCTAAAGTTTGTCTTCGCAGCTCCAGCTTTCTATTAACCTTCGCCTGGCTATATCATCGACTAGCACCACATCATCGACAAAGAGTACACCATGGGATATCTTGTGTATCTCTTGTGACCTCATCCATCACCAAAGCAAAAAGATAAGGGCTCAAAGCTGACCCTTGGTGAAGTCCTATTTTAATTGGAAAGTCATCATTGTCGCCATCACTTGTTCGAACACTTGTCACAACATTGTCGTACATGTCCTTGATGAGGGTAATGTACTTTGTTGGGACTTTGTGTTTCTCCAGGGCCCACCACATGACATTCTACGGTATATTATCATAGGCCTTCTCCAAGTCAATGAACACCATATGCAGGTCTTTTCCTCTCTGTATCTCTCCATAAGTTGTCGTACCTAGAAATGGCTTCAATGCTCGACCTCCCAGGCAAAACTCATTTTTGGTCATGCTTGTCATCCTTCTTAAACGGTGCTCAATGACTCTCTCCCATAGCTTCATTGTATGGCTCATCAGCTTAATTCCATGGTAGCCAGTACAACTTTGAACACCCCCCTTATTCTTGAAGATTGTTACTAATATACTCCGCCTCCATTCTTCGAGCATCTTGTTTGATTGAAAAATGAGGTTGAAAAGCTTAGTTAGCCATACTATCGCTATGTCTCCAAGGCTCTCCGCACCTCAATAGGGATACAGGTAGGGCCCCTTGCCTTGCCTCCTTTCATCCTTTTTAAAGCCTACCTGACCTCGGGCTCCTGGATTTGCCACACAAAACATCTGTTGGCATCATCAAAGGAGTTGTCCAGCTCAATGGTAGAGTTCTCATTCTCCCCATTGAACAACTTGTCGAAATACTCTTGCCATCTACGCTTGATCTCCTCGTCCTTTACCAGGAGCCGATTTGCTCTGTCCTTGATGCACTTGACTTGGTTGACATCCTTCGTCTTCCTCTCTTGGATCTTGGCCATCTTATAGATGTCCTTTTCGCCTTCCTTCGTGCTTAAACACCGGTAGAGGTCCTCATACGCCCGACCCCTTGCTTCACTCACGGCTCACTTTGCCTTCTTCCTTGCCACCCTGTACTTCTCTATATTTTTTGCACACCTATCCAAGTGTAGGTGTCTGAAACATTCTTTCTTCTCCTTAACAGCCTTCTGGACATCATTGTTCCATCACCGGGTATCTTTTGCTTCGCTTCTACTTCCCCTAGTCACTCCAAACTCCTATGAAGCCACCTTCGGGACACAAGTCATCATCTTTATCCACATATTGTTTGCGTCACCTCCTTCCTCCCAAAAGTCTTCCTTAATAATCCTCTCCTTGGAAGCCTGAGCTGCCTTCCCCTTGAGCTTCCACCACGTTGTTCTAGCAACTTTGGCTTGGTTATCCAGCTGGCATGAATTCAAAAGCGGAAGTCGGCTACCACAAGCTTATGTTGAGGGACAACACTCTCTTCAGGTATCATCTTAGGCAAGCACGTCTGTCTTCTCTTCTCGAGAGGACGAAATCAATCTGGCTAGAGTGTTGGCCACTACTAAAAGTCACTAGATGGGATTCTCTCTTTATAAAGAGGGTGATAGCTATGATCATGTCGTAGGCTAGGGCAAAGCTGGAGACATCCTCTCCGTGATTCCTGATGCCATAGCCAAAGCCCCATCCACCTCTTCAAAATCTGTGTTGGATGTACCCACGTCGCCATTGAGGTCTCCTCCATTGAAGAGCTTCTCGCCAATGCGTACACTCCCAACCATGTCCTCCAGGCCTTCTCAGAACTCCCTCTTGGTGCTCTCATTGTGGCCTACTTGCGGGGCATACGCGCTGACAACATTGAGGACCAAGTCCCCAACAACCAGCTTGACCAGGATAATCCGGTCCCCTTGCCTCTTGACATCTGCCACTCCACACCTAAGGCTCTTGTTGATCAAGATGCCTACTCCATTATTATTGGTAGTTGTCCCCGTGTACCATAGCTTGAAGCCGGTATCCTCCACCTCACCTTCTGTCCCTTCCATTTGGTTTCTTGGACGCAAAGGATATCAACACCTCTCCTCACCGCTGCATTAACAACTCCCGTAACTTACCTGTCAGGGACCCTACGTTCCAACTAACATGCGGATCCTCCTAGGCTCGGCTAGCTTCCTTGCCCTTTGCTCATTTTTTACTACACCCGGGCGCCGACGTAGCGCGTCACTAACAATGCGACGACCAGATCCTTGCTCACTTATCACCGTATATCCAGATCAAGATACGGCATGCCACCAAGGGGGTGACGGCCCGGCCCTTGCCTGTTTAGCACCACAACCGGGTTCCGGTATGGCGCGTCGCTAAGAGGGTTACGCCCCAACAATGTTCTTCTGGTTTCATTTCCAAAAGAGTGGCCGAGTTTTGATGTTGGCTCGCCAAGCATATCTCAATCCTCCTCCTTTACCCGGGCTTGGGACCGGCTACACTGAGACAACATAGGCGGAGAGGGAAATTTCTTTGCGAAATAATATTATAGTATTCTTTTACATTTTCTCGTGCCACGGGCCCATGGTGCTTTTTTTTACTTGATTCAGGTTGTATAGTTCCTTATTTTGGTTGATGTTATTGTGGAGGGCTGCCTCCTTTTTTCTTCAAGAACATCAATAATTCAGCATCTTCCTTGTGCTTCTGGCTATAGCTATTGTTCTAATTAATATTACATGCATGTTTACTCTGTATTGAGTAATTGAG